TATCAAGCATTCTTATGTAATGACCTGTAATATGGATCTATTTACTCCCTAATTACTTTGCTATTATTCAAGCTCCAGTGTAAGTTATCTGCACGGTTTTTTTTTTTTAAACGCTCTCAATTATTCACCATTACTAAAGTTTCATAGCTTCAGGCTGGCATTAGGGCTTAGGAGTTATAAATATATAGGTGGTTTTCAAAGAAGCAAGCAGATAAAGGATCTTTTACCTGTAAGGCATGTTCCCTCATGACCTGTGAGAAAAGAACAACCCTTGTGAAACAGGCTTTGTTGAAGGGATGATTCCAGATTAAAATAGCTCTTCAGCCATATTTGTATTAATTTCAGAGGCCTTTTGGGAGGGATTAGATCTCCGACAAAAAGCCGCCCCTTCTCTTTTTTGGCAGCCTGCTATGTGAGGGGGAAGGCAAGAAGGAAGGAGAACATTAGAGAAGGAGAATGACTAATACCCCTTCTTGCTTTTGGCTTTGTCCCTCCTGTCCAATATTGGTACACTTACATAACCTCCAACAAATTGTAACATGTGAGAACAACTGCTTTAAACTTGGTTGTAAAAAAAATAAAATTTTATAAGAGAGTTGTCAAAATCTGGAATATCTTACCCAATTCAGTTGTTTCAGCTACTAAGTTCCAGAGTTTTAATTCCAAATTAACTTCTGTGGACCTCATCCCATCTTTAAGAAGTTTCTAAGGAGGGGTGCCTAAGGGCACTAATATGCCTATCATTCATGTCACATTTTAGTTCTTTCGTTTTGTTTGAATTTGTATTTTTTGTTTTATGAAGATGATAGTAGATCGATCGATAGATAGATAGATGATAGATAGATAGATAGATAGATAGATAGATAGATAGATAGATAGATAGACAGACAGATAGATGATAGTATTTGTGGGAGAAAAGCCCCCAACAGAATGTGCCCACAAAATGTTGGCAATTATCCACAACAGGTTATGACATGACACCCTGAGTTTTTGCAGATAACCAGTATGATACAGTAGATAAGGGTCAATCAAGAATTTGGAAAGGCCATGTTTAAGTCCAAGAGGGCAAGGTCCTGAGCATGCATGTATGTATGTATAGAATTACTATGAATCAGAAATTAGGAGCTAGAACATTTCATTTTTTTGCTCAGATACTCCCTTCCTTTAGTATTAGGGAAGTATCCCTAATTGTAGATAAATATTCTAGTCTTCATCCCACTCATCCTCTGAGGGGAATTACAGGAGGGACTTTCAGAATGGATGTATCAGCTTACTTCAGACTCTAGGCCAAAAAAGAGGACTGTAGAAATGTTGAACCAGACCGAAAGACTCCAAATGCACATAAGAATTCTCTATTATGTACAAGTGATTCATAATTTCCTCTCTGACCGATTCATCCTTGACTTTGTGTTCTTGATAAATGTGCTTACATTTATTCACAGCCCAACCCTCACCTATCCCTTCGAGACTCAGTCTATTTACTTTTAAAGCTGAAGGCAGGGAGCTTTCTAGTTTCTGGGTTGAAGAGCAGTTGTTCAGTAGCCTCGGGCTCTGAGAACATCTACATCAGAGGTCTCCAAACTTGACAACTTTAAGATTGGTGGACTTTAACTCCAAGAATTCTCCAGCCAGCTGGCTGAGGAAATCTGGGAGTTGAAGTCCACAAGTCTTAAAGTTGCCAAGTTTGGGGACCTCTGATCTACATTTTACTTAGAACAGGGAGAATGATGAATGGAAGGAAAGAAAGCTGGTTATGTAGTTATTTCTTTAGCATTACAGTATTTTATTAGCTACCCAGTGTTACTGCAGTAATTCAAAATATAAAGCAATTAAAAAAATGCTAGCCCTCTGAGGTAGTCTAGGTTACAAGCACAACCATGAATATTAGTTCTCTGTAAAGGCATATTAACAGCATCTTGCGAGACTGAAATTATTTCTCCCCCCTGTGCTTTTACTCTCCAAAAATCCCACAATCCCTTCTGAAATGCTTCCCACATTCTCCTTCCTTCTGTGGGCTGAGATACCTTTTAACAAGCCAGCTGACCTGCCTGTGGCTCTTCCTCCTATCTCCCAGATCTTTCCCCCATATCATTACAAATAATGATACTCGACTAATTCAGAGGCTTCCCAAACACAATTAAGAACCAGAAGCTCATTGGAGTAGCCCTGATTTGTTTTTTTTTTTTAAGCAAGGAAAGATTGGGTTGCCCTTACCAGGAGTCAAGTTCCAAAATTAGAACAGTAATTGGTAGAGAACAATATGGTAAAGAAGAATTGCTGCTTTTTCTGTGCTCTAAGCAGGAGAGAATAGTAGAGAATAGTAACCTTTCTTGTCAGTCGGGCAAGCAATCACACCCCTCCCAGGTTTCTGGCAGCATCAGGGACATAAAAGTATGAGGAAAATGTAATCTTTTGCCTGGGGTTATCTTTCGAAGATGTCAATCAGTCTCAGGAGATTCATTTCCATGGCCAAATGCTTAGACTTCAGTCCCTCTCTACTTTAAGAAATCTCTCTTCCTCTCTCTGTCCCTCTCTCTTTTGCACGGAAGCAGATGATAAAAACTGTCTCACTTTTTAGGTGTTTGGATATCAAGTTTTTCCCCCTACTGGGTGGCTGTTCCTATTTTACTTTACTGTTTTGTTTTCACTTGCAATTTACAATTATAATTATTGTTATCCTTTTTTATAATGAGTACTGGACTAATTAGATGCTTACAACACGATGGAAAGGCTGGATTAAAACGTAAATAAATAAATCCCTTTGCCAGTCTCCCAGTTGCAACATCTACTGTAGGAGAAACAATCGTGAGTTTAATCAGCTTCTGGTAATTACATGGAGATGGTCATGTAGTTTGTTTGACTGCAAAATGGAAGTGGTTTTCCACTATTTTCATTCTCTATTGGTAACCGAATAACAAATTGTGTTGTAGATGTGAAAAGGGTAGAATAACATACCAAAGTGAACTGTTCTTTTCTTTTCTTTGTGAAGCGAGCTGTACAAAGGAGTCCCGGAAGGTTAAGGATTATGAAGTAGTGTATCCACAGAAAGTTCATGCATTGCACAAAAGAGACGCAGGAGAGTCTCAGAAGCCTGACCAAAAAGTAAGAAAAAAGATTTGCTTTCCATCAACTTATTTATTGATGAATCTGACCCTGAGTTTTGCTCAAGATTCATGTGAACCCAAGTTAAACTTACACTTCTTTCAAAATTTTGCAGTCTGGTTCTTAGGGCAATGTCTCAACTATTTTTATTGTTCATTTTTAAAGTTTACTTTGTTCTGCTTTATGGTTATAAAGTCATATATTTGTTAGAGTTCATAGAATATGAAAAATGATGATGGGAGGGAGGTTATAATTTGGAACCTATCACCTGTTTCATTTTTAGGTTGGATCTGATATTGTCTAGGATCAGTGGTGGGATTCAAATTTTTTAACAACTGGTTCTGTGGGTGTGGCTTAGGTGGTGGGCATGGCTTGGTGGTCATATGACTGGCTGGGCGTGGCCAACTCAACATTACTCAAATCGAGGCACGCATCTCCTCGCCTGGCCTCTCATAACTGTGGGGATGCTGCAACAGTCGTAAGTGTGAAAAATGATCATAAGTCACTTTTTTCAGTGCCATTGTAACTTTGAATGGTCACTCCACACAAGCAAAGTACCAGCAAAGGGGGGGAAAAAAACTCTAGAGATGTTCCTGAGACAGGAAGTCTACTCCTGCCAAGAACGTAATAAGGGTTAACAGAGAGGCAGTTTCTGTAAGCAACACCAGAATGTTTCCTTCCTGCCTTCCTTACAGGATTAGGCCAGTAATTTCTTCTAACAACCGGTTCTCCAAACTGCTTAGAATGTTAACAACTGGTTCTAGAGAATAGATGCGAATCTGTAGAATCCCACTCCTGTCTAGGATCCTAGAGACCTTTGAATAATAGTTTGAATAATATTTGCATAGATGGATTTTCATAGACAGCTGCAAGTAAAGAATGGTTTCTCCTTTTAGATAGACATACCATAAATCTCATAAGACTACAAACTTTCAAAGGTCTGGTTCACCTTGATTAAAATCTGTCAAATTGCAGAAATCTGAGACAATCTTTGCACCCTTATATGAAGATTTGACACACTTGACATGGTTTCAGTGAAACTTATACAGACCTAATATTTCATGGGAGCGAAAAATCCTATTACTCAGGATTATTGAGTCTGGCTAATTACTCTGTTGTCAGCCAACATAACTTTTGGTATCCTTTTGCTGCCAGCTAGAATTGCCATCTGCTTATCTGGATTTTTGCATTGTAATCTATGCAACTGCATGGGTAATTAATGATTTATTGTTAAACAAATTTATATGGCCACCCAATTCAACACAATTGAGGAGACTCTAGGTATCTTACAACATTCAAATTTCAGCATGTTAATAAGTTAATATTGTTAATACAGCTACTGTTAATACTTGACTTTGACATTCCTTTTTACGGTCTTGGATCAAAGATGATGGGTAACTGTGACAACTGTGAAGCAAGCAATATGAAAATAGTAATAGCCATAGCGCTTAGACTTATATACAGCCTCCTAATGTTTAACAAAATATTATACTTTCTGACTTCCCAAAATGCATCACTTTAAATATAAAAGTTGTATTTGTAGATGAAAAAGGCATAGTGAGGTTAAAACCAGTGACTGGATTCAGGTCCATCCTCAGCCATAGAAAAGCTCATGGGATAAATTTTGAGTCAGTCACTGTGTCCCAAAACAACCTCATTCACCCAGATGTTGAATTGGAGTAGAAAACCTTGAACTTCTGGAGAAAGTTTAATTTAAGAAGATCTTACAGTGGCTCTCAAGCATCACAGATGAAATAATCCATATGTAATAAATGAATTTGCTGTAACTTTCCATTTGACACTGGTGCTGAGTTGTTAAGAATACATACATTTTATTTGCATATTTTTTAAAGAATACCATCTGTTGTTTCTCTAAATAAATACTGAACTCTGCATTTCAGACTAAGTATGATGATACCATGCAATATGAATTTAAAGTGAATGGAGAGCCAGTGGTCCTTCACCTAGAAAAAAATAAGTAAGTTAACTCAGAAGTTCCTTTAACTTTTCTAAGATGATGTGAAAAAATTTATATTCTTGGACACAATCCAAGAGAAATTAAATTGTATTGCTTTGTTTGGGAAATTAAAACTAAATTAAATTAGTTAATTGAGTTAAATTAAATATAATTATTTTAAAGGAGAAGGGGATATAAATAGTGAACATGTTAATTATGTCTTACCCCAGAATTCAGAATTTATTTTTCCTGCTTTCTATGGTACACTGATGGACCATAACAACTCTAAATAAAATTGAATCACTCAAGGCTCATAAACTTCGGTCCCTTGAATTACCTAGGTTAGTTATGAAATATTAGAAATTTAAAAATCATTGGTTACACATTTTTCCTGCTCCACAGACACCTCATCAATCTGTATCACTTTTCCTAAGAGCCTTACATAGCAATAGACTTATACACCACTTCACAGTGCTTTTACAGCCCTCTCTAAGTGGTTTACAGAGTCAGCCTCTTGCCCCCAACAATCTGGCTCCTCATTTCACCAACCTTGGAAGGATGGAAGTTTGAGTCAATCTTGAGCTGATGAGAATTGAACTGCCAAACTGCATCCAGCACCCAGCAGAAGTAGCCTTGTAGTATTGCATTCTAACCACTGCGCCATCACGGCTCATAACTGCTCAATTTTCATCAGAATTTACATGTTGAAGCATGAATGTCATGAAATGTCATGTCCTATTGAGGTATGAAAGGGGACATGTCCTAAACAAGTCCAGATTTCAACACAGCCTATTTTTTTTGTGTGTTAAGAATGCCATTTCATTCCTCTCAGCAGTTCTCCATTTGAACTGTAAATCAAGATAGTTATAAAGATAATAATAAGTAGATTTGCCACCTGGCGTATATCTGCATAATAACTAACTAGCGGAACAGGTTTTGGGTCTTTCATTGACTTGTCTAGCCAGGCCACTGCATTTTTATTAGCAGCTTTGTTTTGATAGGGGGAATAGACAGGGACTGAAATTATTTTTCACTGCAACAGTATTGCCAAAAAGGCTTTAAGAATTGTAAATTTAATTTTATGAAGCTTCTCCTCTGATAGTACTGTTTTGCTAACTAGGGCATTCAAATCCTTTGCGAGATCAATACTTGAATTCAGCTCTGCCTGGAATCTGCACTTTATATCAGACATAAATACAATTCAGCGAGTCCAGAAGTATTTTACCAGAAGAGTACTATATTCCTCTGTTCATAACAGAATACCCCACACCACCAGGCTTGATATTCTAGGCCTAAACAACCTTGAACTACGCCAGCTAAGATTGGACTTAAGCATAGTACATAAAATCCTATGTGACAACATCTTACCAGTTAATGAATATTTCAGCTTTAACAACAACAACACAAGAGCGCACAACAGATATAAACTTAATGTAAACCACTCCAAACTCGATTGCAGGAAGTACGATTTCAGCTACAGAGTGGTCAACGTCTGGAACTCACTACCTGATTCTGTTGTCACCTGCTCAAGCCCCCACTCCTTTACCCTCAAACTAACTTCTATCGACCTCAGCCCATTCCTAAGAGGTCTGTAAGGGGCGTGCATAAGCACACAATCGTGCCTATCATCCCTATCCTATTGTCCCCAATTATTAGTTCCTATTTCTTGTATTGAAACTTACGTTTATTCTTGTTATATTGTAAGCTTTTGACAAATAAATAAACAAACAAATAAACAAACAAACAAACAAACAAACAAATAAATATTTCTCCCTTGTAAGTAAACTACTTCTACTGCTAAAAGGAGGTGTGCCATTTTCATTGCCTGAAATCCGGTGAATGTCACATCAAAGTTGAAATTAGTGTAGCAGCCACTGCATGGAAAACATGAGAACAATTATTTAGAATACCTGAAGCCCTGATGCAATTTAATATTAACATTAAGACCCAGATACATACTGAATGCTTTGGGAATGATTTCCCGCTTTTGATTTTAGAATATATTTTTCTATCGACCATGTTGTTATACGTGCCCTCGAAATGTATATTAATCTAATTATTAAGGATGAACGGTAAAGAAATGTGCCCCATGTGCGTGTCACTTTATCTTATACTGTGGAGACATTTCGTGTTAAATTAGATGATGTGTTTTTTAGAAATTATCACGTTACCTTTTCCTATTGTCTAACCATGCAGGCTGCGTCTAACATCAGGGTAGCATCTTGATCAGGGGTGTCAAACCCAATTTCATTGTGGGCCGCATCAGGGTTGTGTTTGACCTCAGGGGGGTTGGGGTGTGTGGCCAGGGCAGGCGTGACCAGCTCAATGTCACTCATGTCAGGGGCACCTGTGTCAGCAAAAATGGAACTCCAGAGGGCCATGACAGCCTCCTGCAGCTCCCTGCCAGCGAAAACAGAGCAGCCCTCCCAGCCTTCGTTTTTGGCTGCAACGGCCTCCTGCAGCCCTCTGCAGGCAAAAACAGAGCTCAGGAGAGATGCACGTGGCTCTCCCTAGCTCTGTTTTCGCTGGCAGAGGCCCCACAGGCCAGTCCTTTGCTATTTCCAGGGTGGCCCCATGGGCCAGATCTAAGCATCCCATGGGACTTCTCCGGATCTGGATTACCTTGTTTGGGCTTGGAGCAAAACAGGGCTAAAGGTAGGAGGCCAGCAATAAATACCAGGTGTATGTTGGAACACCTAGAAAAATGGAAGGCAATGCCAAGAAAAGTGCATGAATATGTCTGCTTAACCAGCAGGAGAAGAAAGTTAACTCCATTGTGTTGATTTAGGGCTGTGAGAGAGATGCTTCTGAGTGAAGGTTCAATGTATTCATTCCCTTGAAGTTGCTTCATGAAACAATATTGAACCCTTTTACTCTGGAATAAAAGGAGCTAAATTGTTCTCCTTTGCAGACCTTAGCAGCTTCATCAGGTTGTTACTTTGGCCAGAAGAATCAAAGAAGAAGCAATGCAAAATGTCTTATCCTGGTAAATCGTACCTCCTCTGAGCCTTGATGAAGAGACTTGCAGAGTTTTCTTAGTGCAAAGCTCTTTGCTAAGGTGAATCCAGTGTGCTCTGCACTCCTCTTAAATGGCAATCCCAATGAGATTGAAATACCTGCTCCTTCCCTTTGATGCCAAACAAGATCCTTAAAATGCCAGTATACAGTAGTTGTATACTTATTATGCAATTATCTTTGCTCCCAACACTAAATAATGTCTTCTTTGTATTCTTTCCAGGGAACTTTTTTCAAAAGATTACAGCGAGACTTATTATTCCCCAGATGGCAGAGAAATTACAACAAGCCCTCCAGTTGAGGTAATATCCAGAGCACCTTACTTTTATGAAATAAATGGAGAAGGTTATTTGTGCACAATATTCCAAACATGCACATACCAGACCTGGCTATTCAAACAAGAAGGGCTGTTATGTTGAGCATGCTCTGTGTAACAATGTGTGGGTTGTTAAAACCCAGTCTGCTCTACTGATTGAATTAATAGGGCTATATTTCAATCAACCAATTCTTTCCTACTGATTAAAAGCAAACATTTGGGGGAGTGAGCCCCACATATAGGTTTATTAAAAGAATATCAGATTTATAGGATCCACTTTGCTTTTTAAACCCGATTACACTGATAAATGCAAAAATGTTTGTTTGGAACACCAAAAATAAGAATAATTCACTTTGCTTCTACAGAATATAGAAACCCATTCTATGTTCCTCACACTAAAATGGACCAGAGCCTGTTATAATATCACAGCTTAACTTACTTCCTTTGCCCCCTCCTCCTCCCAAATTCAGCTAAAAGTGTACCCTTTGTCTCCCAAAAATATCTACTCCTGGGTTAGCATCTTCAAAGGTCATACAAATTGTGCTTAATTAATGTGTAAAAGAAATCCATTTTGATAATTTGATGTCTATATGGATTCTGCTCCAGAAGATTCTAGGAATTAAAAATACAACACCAGTTGGAGTCTTCCAGGTCATATAGGACTTTTTAATATAGTGTTAATATTGTGTATTTATATCTCTGATGTGTTTCTCAAAGCTTTCATTATGTGGGCTCAAGGAAATAACCGTGTAATTGATATAATAAGTAAGTATGGGTTTCCCCCCTACATTATGAAAAGATTTTAGAACATAGGACAATGTGCAAGTCTTAAATCCTGTGGTACAGTCGTAGAGTTGACCTCCAAGAAGGCTAAGTTGGTGAAGAAAAGGTCTTGTAACTTGAAGAACACATTTTATATTCCTTTGTTGATTGTCTGCCCAAAGGCTCCTAGCTTTTTTCATCCATGGGGTTCCTCCTGCAGTGATATTCTGTACTTCCAAATAACCAAGAGTTATTATTTGTAAAATGCATTTGTTTGAAATTCAATGTCTTTTGGCATTTGTGTACTGCATGTGATTATTTTTCTCTATTATAGACAGTCACTTCCTTAAATTCAGAACAGTTCAAAGCCAGTTCTATTTGAGTACCAGTATTTGCAAGGTCATATCTCACTTATAATCAGCACAGGTTTTGGTACACCTTAATTTCAATCTCTGTGGGAGGACATTTAATCTATTTTTGGGACTGGGTGGCTTTGTGCTTTCTGAGAGATCTCAGCTTTGGAACTTTATCACAAGGACACAGGTGTTGCTGTCTGTACTCCAAACCAAACCTCACAGATGATTCTCCCCCCTCCAAACACACAGATCTCAATGTTACTAAAAAGAGATGTGTTGGACTTCAATTCCCAGAATTGAGCCAGCATTGCCTCAAGTGTCCTTTGAAATTTTCTACAGAAAAAGTCATTAGGCCATAATGCAAATTATCACTATGTTAATTAAAACAATATAAAGAAGTCATTGCTTTGTAGACAATTCCAGATCTGTGACAAATTTAATTTAACTAAAAAGACAATAAAACTGTACCAAGTTCCTTTCTTTTCTAAGTTTCTGTCTGAAGGAGTTCTTCCCACACCCCTTTTTGACACACTCAAAGATTGTTCTATTTTTATCCCTTCTTCCTGATGATATCTGTTTCAAACAAGGCACTTCTCTTAAAGACTTCTAGAGAACTTTCGAAGGAAATGGCAAAAGCCATCTAAATGGCACAAGATTGGTACTTATGCAGCAAAATGTGAATTAAAAAATGCTACAATTTAAGCTAAAGAATCTGATTTAATTTAAAATGAGGAAACACATATTTGGCGTCCTAAACGCTGCACAGATTAAACTGGAGAGGGAGTTTTTTTTTTTTAAAAAAAAATCTTATTTAAATTATGTGTAAGATACAGTTAAAGAAAAGTCCCTGTATGTTTTACTCCAGTAACTGTAGCCAACTTTACAGGGTTGTGCTTATATCTGTTTCTTCAAGCCATTGAGACTGCCTGAAGATGAGCTATCATGCCACAGCACAAAGCATGCAGCAGACACACAGTTCAGTTGCCTTTCCATCAAAATAGTACCTATTTCTCTACTCGTATTTGCATGCTTTCAAACTGCTAGGTGAGCAGGAGGCAAGTGACAGGAACTCAGCACTTGGACCTCGATTGTGGGCTGTTGTTTTCCAGCTAACATGCCCAGCATCTTAACCACTAAGACATCATACCAGATTGTGTTGTATCAATTCAACGATGATGGGAAAAGTGCTGTGGTGGTACAGTGATTAGCTGATGGTCATTTACTTGTAAGATAAGGCAAATTAGATCTCGATGATCCAAAATAACCTACAATTGAACAGCTGATGCTAGAGAGACCCTGCTGGTGGAGGGTTTCTCCAGTTCCACCTAATGTTGTGGTTCGCCGGCAGCAGGTGCAGATGGCTGAGGTCTTGGAGAGTGAGGACTCAGGTGAGGGGCCTGCATGTGATGCAGGGATGGGGCCAGGACCATCAGGGAGTTGAATGCTGCCTTCGGAGATGGTGGAGGCCGGCAGTAGCGATGAAGAGGTCCCCAAGGAGCCTGTGCCCAGCATGCATGTGCGCAGGGCTGCTCGAAGGAAAGACTTGGGCGACTCGGGAGTAAGGCTGCAAGGTAATGGCCCCTCCCTGAGGAGATAAAAGCCAGCTGAGAAACTGAAGTTATTTGCAGAAGGCAAATAAGGTTTGCACTCAACCTTGGTGGACATTAGGAATATCTGAGTTGGTGTTTGGAGACTCTTTGTGTTTGAATGATTGCTTAGTAACTTTATCTGGTATTCTTGGCAGCCTTGCAAAAGCTTGGCAAGGCTCTTTCTTATCGGAGCTAATTGGTTTGAACCAGCCTTTTACCCATGAAGGAACAGGATTTGTAAAGAAACATTAAAAGGTTGTGTTGTTACCTTTGTCTCGTGTTTGCTTCCTTAGACCCAGGTTTGGGTCAGAACACATGAGGGCTTTCTAAAAGCATTTGTTTTGCTATAGCTGATAGTACATTGCTGGTACTGACCTGATATTGTCCAGAAAAACATCTTCCAAATTGGTTATTAAGATCTCACTTATCCAGAAAAACATCTTCCCTTTTGTTTGTACGGTAGATTCTAGTGAGTAACTCTTTGTCTCTTGCAAAATACTGCAAGAGACAGTGGTTTTGTACAGAAAGCCTCTTCCTGTAGTCAGTTATCAATTTGCAAATGATGTTTTGGATCTGGAAGTGTGAAGGTGTATCTTTCTTTGAGTTTTGGTGCTGGAGAGAGCTTGGACATAAATGCTGTTTCTCAGTGTATTTATGCATATGGTACATACACAACACTTTCCTAAGTAGAGACTCAATGAGCTTGTCTTGCTCTTTGGAATGGAATGATTTAAAGGCAAAAAATTTTATAGCATCTTCTAGCAAAGTGAAAAAGAAAAAGAAATATTCTAACACCTTTCCCTCTTTCCCCCTTATCAACAAAAGCCTGATAAAAGAAGCATAGAATTTTGAGCAACAAAATCCTGCATCAGGCGATAGGGCCTGGTAGGAAAATAACTAAGCAGTGACCTTCATTTAAAATTATTCTTTCTGTCAATTAAGCAAGAAAAGCTCAGAGTCTGCTTTTTATTTTTAGCCACTGTCCAAAATGCTAAGTCAGCCAATGACTTTACCAACATATACACCAAATAAGGGGAAAAAAAATCAGAACTGGTATTGAGTCAAATCATGAGAAAGAGCATCTGGCTGGGAAGAAATTATTGAATAGGGAAAGTGAGATCTTAATGACCAATTTGGATGATTTGAAAAATGCCACATTGGTGCATCAAATTGTACACAAATTGTACATTGAGGACTGCCAATCTAAAAAATTATTTCCCTTTAGTTGTTTTTCATGTATTTGTCTCTCTCACTGCCATTTGGAATGTTCCAGTATTTTACATAGCCATTTATAGCCTCCCCATTAGTAAATTTCAAACTATCTTTAGGTAACATTTTAAACATCTTTGTATGGGAACATTTTTGAGATTTTTTTTAATGACCTCAGTCCAGGAAAAAACATTTCCCCATCTAGGAATGATGGCGTCAGAGTTTATGAAATCTGGAGGCTCACATATCCCCCAGTTCTGCAATAAGTAGTAGAACAGAGTGAGAGACATTCTGATGATGAATTTAAAAAGTCTGTTGATTGATTTAGTTAGTCATTCAATTTCTATAGCTACCCATCTCAAGCAATGACTCTGTGCAGCTTACAAAAATCAAGATAACAGCCACAAAGGTGCCATCAAAGCTCTGCCTGTTTTTGGTTTGTATTGCAATGGTGCCAGTCCTTATTGGCAATATCCTTTGGATATCCTTGGATTCAGGTTAAGTTTTCCCATATAAGCTGTGTTGAAAAGTTCAATAATTCCAGAGCACATATGTGCAGGTGCAACTTGGTTTTAGGGTTTTGGGCTCATTTTGAAACAACCAGTCACTCTGATTCGCAAAGTGGACGAATGGCTGCAAAAGTTGATGGAGTTAGCAGAGATGGCTAAACTGACTGCTTCGATTAAAGATTAAAAAAAAATATCACATTACTTTTGTTTCTACTTGGAAACCACTTCTGGGCTTTGTGCTTGAGGTGGAAAAAAAGTGAAACTTTGCTTTTGGGCTTTACTGATTAGACAGCTTTGTTGTTTTAGAAATGGATAGTTTATACTATCTGTAAAAGTAAAAAGTTGAGGTCTGATAATAATCTTATTTTACTGCACTGAAAGGAGTCAATCCCTTTTTTTTCCTTTTCCCCTGTTTCCCTACACATTCTCCTTCCCTTACTTTTCTACCATTTTCTTTTGTATTTTTGTATTTTATATTGTAAGCTAATTAAAAAAAAACAATCAATAGTAGACAGATTTTGTATCCCACAAATCAAAATATTCTGGATTGTTTTCTGTCTTACATATTACTTCACTTATACGTTGGGAACCATATTCCTGCTTAACAAATCACAGTCCAATCCAGTGTAGTCTTCTTGCTTCCATACAGGATCACTGTTATTATAACGGCCACATCCAGAATGATACTGACTCAACTGCAAGCATTAATGCATGCCATGGTTTGAAGTAAGATACTGTTTTATCTTTATTTTGTAAGAAAGAAAATATTATTACTGTTCTTGAAGCTGTCATAGTTAAAAAGTGGCACATCAGTTTCTTATGCAACTTCTAAACTTCTGCAAAATTAAGAAAGATTTTGGTTGGATACCTAGAAGAGCTGCTGCCAGCCAACAGAGACAGTAGGGAACTAAATCTCTGTTTAAAGGAGCTTCAAAGACCATGTTATCTTTGTACAAAAGAGTTGGTGTTACAAGAAAAGAAGATAAGTAGGTTTCAGATTGTGAAGGAAGTATAGGAAGTAGCTAGGAAGTGTACAGGAAGAGGCAAGCAGACTTTTGGTTCTACTAGGAACACTTTCTTGAGCCATTCTGCACACTTTCTCCAACCAACCAGATATCTTAGCTGTATAAAGATTAGAAGAGTCAGATTATCATAAGGCTAATTCAATGTCCTCCTGACAGCTGTTACTGAGGGAAGACACTGGAAGCTCCAGTTGATGCAAAATGCAGCAGCCTGCATGGTTTTGTGCAGACCTTAGCTTGCCCATGTTTCAACCAATGCGGGAGCTGCATTGGTTGCCAATTTGCTTCCGGGTGCACTTCAAGGTGCTGGTTGTCATCTTTAAAGCCCTTCATGGCTTGGGACCAGGTTATCTGAGGGAATGTCTCTTGACAGTCACATCTACCTGACCCATCAGAGCGGAGAGTCAGGGAATGCTGCGGGTCCCACCCCTGAGGGAGATACACCTGGTGGGACCCAGAAGTTGGGCCTTCTCCATGGTGACTCCCTCTCTCTGGAACATCATTCCCGCAGAGATTAGAAGGGCCCCTCTCTAATACTCTTCCGAAAGGCACTGAAGACCTGGTTCTGCCAGTGGGCCGGGGGAACCCAGAGAGGGATGGAGCCCATCAAATGGCTTCTGTGATCTGCTGTCGTCGGGGCAGTGGGTGGGAGTTGGGGGTGATTTTTTATTTATTTTTTTCCAGATTTTGTTCTATTGTACTTTATTAATTTATTTGATTTTTTATTAGTTTTTATTGTTTTTTATTTTAAATATGGTTTGACATTCTATTAGCTGCCTCGAGTTGCCATGGGCGAATAGGCAGCAGTATAAACAAACAAACAACAAACAAACAAACAAACAAATAAATGATAATTCTGCATTGAGGGTATTATTATGTCAGCTCTTTACTAAATATCCTGATAGTTCTGACTTTTATCTTAAGTTGTTATTATCAGATCAATCTTATTTCGTTTCCTTGACCACAACCAAGTACTATTCTGCAACCAAGTACTATTCTATTTTCTCTTAGATATTTTAGAACAATTATATTTTTCCTCTTTCATCCTACTTAATTGTGACTTTCATGTTTTATGTGTTGATCTATGAGCAACAAAAGATTGGTTTGATTGAATGACTCTACAGTAGGGAAATATATAAGATATACAGTATTTCATCCCTATGAAACACATGTTTATACACAAAAACTGAATCTTCCAACATGTGTAGTCTTATATCTTCATAGCTAGAAACATTCTCTACTTTTTAACAATAATTTAGGAATTATACATTATTGGATTCCATGACAAACTACATCCATTCAAATATTGTATAGCTGACAATTGTATAGCTAATTCATCATTGTACTGAGAATGTGCAATATCTTATATTTTTTGTGAGCTTAGCTGTGTCTTTGAGAAGCAGGAGAAAGTGATATGTAAGCTAGGGAAAGAAAATAAAAGTCAGTTTATTTTAAAGAGAGATTCACAAATTTATGTTGACTTTGTTAGTTAAAACTTGTTATTCATCATGGAATCCTTTGTACTCTCTGAGCTTAATTGTTTTCTTGCAGATGTTTCATTACCCAACCAGGTAACATCTAGTCCACTAATGATGTTACTAGTTGAGCAATAAAATGTTTGCAGGAAAACAATCAAGTTTAGGGAGCACCAAGAACCCCACAGTTGAACCCTGAGCTCCAAATATTCTTTTCTATGGGATTTCCAGCTCTAATCCTAATGTTCAAAAATAATCCACAATTGTTTTTCAGAGGGTATTTCAAGAATTATGGTGAGAGGTATCTTATTGAACCTTTGAAGCTTTCCAACAGTGAAGCCCACGCACTCTTCAAATATGAAAGCCTGGAAAAAGAGGACAAGATGTTCAAAACCTGTGGAGTAACCAACACTACTTGGAAATCAGATGACCCCTTCAAAAAGACCTCCCGGATGAGCATGAGTATTGAAGTAAGTTCATATAACATGGTTTGAAAACAGGGGTTCATTTACTTGTTTCTAAAATGTAAAGTGAAAGAGAAATTTCTGGGACTGCTTAAAAAGAATTCGGAAGATAGGTTCCCTCATTACTAAAATTCTATTCCACCCATGCTCTACAAGAACATATGGAAACTCAATGAACAGAAAATACATATTCCAGTTTACAACATTTTCTATGTTCGTGCAAACTTAATTTAGAGAAATGGTTCAAAATAGGTTCAACCGAATCTCCAAATCGTCTCAACTTTCTGAATCAGTTTAGAAATAAGTTTAATTGAATTATCAATTGGAGGCCTCTTTTATTATGCATGCATAGGGGATAGAGGGAGAAACTGGTTTGAAATATCAAATCGAAGTGCTTTGTGATGTCTAATAAGACCATTACATAATCTTGATTCAATTTTCCAATTTGATTTGAACCATCAAGTTGGATTGAAGCAAGGATTGAATCAAAACTGATGAAGTGAATCTGGTCAATCATTGCATAATGTTCTCCACCTGAGAAATTTCTCAGCACATTCTAAAATGCTGAAGTTTTAACAATCTCTCTCACTATACATGTCTTCTTCAAAGAGCCAATATTTCTGAAAGGTCATGTACTTTGTCCAGGGAGGATAACAAGGTTATCTGAGGATGCAACATTTCTGTTGACTGCAGGAAGCAACATGTCTAAACAATATTTTGTTTAATGTTCTGTTTAGAAAAAGGAATACTTGCAGGCCAAAAAATATGTTGAGTTTTACGTAGTTGCAGACAACAGAATGGTAAGTATTCTGGATACCAATTTTCTTTCTGTATTGAGCACACAATTTTGTTTTCAATGTGGGTGTTTTGAAGGCATTACCAAATACAACACTCTAACTAGATTTCTTCCTAAAATATGTGTTAAAATATACTTCGATAATTTTTGTTTTTTGTTATTGGACCCGATCCCTATGTACAAAGTTAAGGCACATTTGAAATTCAATTATTGCCTGATTTGTACTAAGCTGTTCCTGGACTTTATCTAAATTTTAATGATTGTTTATCCAGAAATGCCAAGATCAGGAAGCTGAAGTTAAGATGGAGAACATAAATGAAATTTTGAAACAGAAAAAAAAGAGTAAAAGAGAGAATCATCATCCATTTCTTTTACCTGGGAAATCTAGCATTCCAAAATCCAGAGAAAAATTCATGAAGAGAATTTTGAATTGGTTTTGTGGGTGGGCATCTCTGGTTGTTTTGCTTTCCCTTATTTTTTTATTTATTTCAGAACCGTTACATTTAACTTGCTTTTTAAATTGTATTGAAATATGAATACACTTTGGCTTCTATGTTTCCCAGCATATTTTTTTTTTATTTTACACTTTTGCTTGGTTTTTGAAGATAACTTTCCCTAGCAGGAAAAATATTTTTATTTTTTATGAATATCTGATTTGAAATTGATATTCTCCTTATGTGTGTTTGTGCAAGTATGAATTTCAATTAATAAATTGGTTCAAAAGGTCAAAATTATGTACTGTTAATTTTCATACTATCATTCAGATTAAATATATTTCTCCATCACCACTAGCTCAAATAGAAGCTGACCTTTGGCTAATAGAGAAATAAGATCCACATTTTGACTTAGCCAATCTCATTTGCAATAATATAGCATTTGCAGTAAAATAACTCTTGGGGGAATTTGAACTCTCTGAATATGTGCACATTTCCCTCCAGTAAAATTAACTATGTTCATGAACTCAGTGAATTTCCAGATACCAGTCTGAGCTTCCCCTTTTAATACTATTGCAGAAGAGAACGTCTTATGCAAATTTTTTTCAGGGAAATTGGTCTTGGGCTGGTGGAATTTAAATCCAGTTTGTAGTGAAGAATGCTTTTCTCACACTGCTCTGAACAGGGAAATATAGTGTCCAATTAAGGAAAAGGTTTTCAGTAGGCTGACCAAAATTTTCTCCAACCAGGAGAAAAACCCATGTGTGATACTGAAAAAATAATAATAATGTTAATATATTAATGCAGATTCACGTGTAGAATTAAAAGGGTGAAAAGGGCCCAGCAGAGATTATACTAGCTGAGACTTCTCAGAAATCAACAACTGAATGGAAAACTGCTGGTGACCTTCTACCGCTGCACCATAGAGAGTATCTTAACTTACTGCACCTGTGTGTAGTTTGCCAATTGCAAAGTGGCAGATAGGACAGCACTCCAGAGGGTTAACGTCATTGCCCAGAGGATCATTGGTTGTCCTCTCCCCTCTTTGGAAGAGCTTTATAGCTCCCGCTGCCTTAAGAAAGTTCAAAACATTCTCAAAGATCCATCTCAACCTGGGCACCCCTTTTTTTTTTTAACTATTACCATTTGGCAGACGGTACAGGACAAATAGGCTGAAAAACAGCTTCTATCCCAGGACAGTAGCTCTGTTGAATTCTACTATATAGTACAGTGTTGGTGTGGGGTCAGGGTTTTCAATTCAGTGTGTGGAGTGTGAAGGATGTGCATTTGTGTTTATTTTCATGGTCATAATGTGCACTGAAGATGGTGTTTGATTTCGTTGTACAAGATGCAATGACAATAAAGTAAACTAAGAACTAAATGACCAGCACAAAATAATTCATTGGAGTCCTTGGATATAGAATTATTATTTTTGTCTGAATCAGCAAATTCCATGATTTTTTAAAAGTTTCTTCCTTTCCCTGACATGTTCTTTCTCTCTCTGCTCCAGTCCATCCAAAACAATTATTATCTCTTCTTAACCTTTTTGTCTTTTCTGTAGTTCAGGAAGTACAGCCGCAGCATCACTACTATAAGGAAGAGAGTATTTGATATAGCCAACTTTATAAATGTGGTAAGAAGACATGACAAAAGTTATTTCACTTTTTGGATTTTAACCTCTTGGATTTTCACTGTGTTCACACAATAAACAACCAGGTAAAGAGACCTAGGAGATGCACTTCTCCAAGAACGTTAACTTTTCCAGTTTTGAGTTCCGCAAAGCTGGGTCATTTGGTAAAGTTGTGATCCAGTATGCAGGGCCATTTTAGAAAATGGGTTAGTTCAGTAACTAGGTTAATAAGCCTCTTATGTGAATACAAAGTTCAAAGCGGTTGCAATAATTCAATCAGTAATACATTTCAGTAGCTGGATTCTTTCAGGGCTGTGGTTAATCTGCTTTGCTTGGAGATTAGAAAGAGATGATCTTAATAAGCCCATTTTAAAGTCAACTGATTAAGAACATGATCTCTTAGAAGAAAGCAGGAGGAACCCAATTTGAATTGGATTGTGGCACTTAAAAGGAGATCCACTCATCTTGTACTATTATACATATTGTATCTATTAACCTTGTTGACCATCTTTACTGTTGATGATCAGTTAGAATCAGGGAGAGGACAGGAAGACGGATGGGTCAAATCTCCCTTAAAGTGCTGCTCCACTTCTGTTCTTCATGAAAGGGAATAATCACCTGTTTCTTTTTTAACATTTATTTCTGCTGATTAAAACAATCCTTCTTCTTCTCTATGTAGAGTCCTTGGTGCTGTCTGAGTCTGACTAAATGTCCATAAGCAAACCACTAGGCTCAGAGAGCATTGAGGACTCCACAATTCAAATCTTTACAGATTTTCTTCTATTGAATCCCAAATCTATTCCATTTCACCTGTCTTTAGAAACTAATGTCAGCTGCCTTTTAGTCTAGAAACGTTTCTCAAGGTTTATATGTGTTTGAGTTTCTGATTGATGCCATATCCACCACACAGGTTTACAAACCTTTGAAGGTTCATGTAGCATTGATTGGCTTGGAAATATGGTCCGATGAAGATAAGATTGAGATCAGTGAAACAGCAGGTGCCACTTTGAACCACTTTTCGTCATGGAGACAGTCAGTTCTGCTGAAGCGCAAAAGGAATGATAATGCTCAGTTACTCACGTATGTCTCATTGTGGGAAAAGGGAATGGGGGTGGCTGGGAGTGGAGGATTATGGGAAAGTTAGTGCTTGCACAGAACTTCCACTCTATGCTGCACGCTTTAAAGCTTCTGTGAACTATATTTCTGGGTCAAAGCCAACATAATTTTTTTTTGTGTGTATGAGAGCTGGTTTTAAGAAGTCTTTGAATGATTGCCGGTCAAAAACGCAGCTTGATTTGATTTCACCTGGATTTGAAATTGAAACTGAACTGATTACCCTGTTATGCTTTGGTTGTACTTACACATGCATTTTTAATCTGATTAAATGATGTTTTGGTTTCCATTCTGTCCCAACTGAATGAATACTTCCATTACACAACAGATAAACCCATAATATAATAAAATAAAAATAGTTAATCTTGAGTTTGACAGGATGTATAAATCTGTCATCTAGACTAGATCTTAATGTGATCTGGTTATAGATGCAGTGTGAATTCAGCCTATATATTGCCATACAATTTTATGAGTGAGAAATTGCCAAATTTACTGGATTATATCTACAATATATTGGATAAGTTATAACTCTGCTGTGAGCAATCCTACAGAATCTGTGCATAACAAATGGGTCTTATAAAATATATTGGGGCTAGATGGAATGCAGATCAAAGTAAAAAAGGAGAATATAAAACATAGAAAAAAATCCATTTTATTTTTCCCACAGATGTTGATTTGATCCCCCACACTTAGTCACTTTTTCCAAGCTCACTTAGTTTTTAATAACACCATGGCTAAACTGATAGGAGAAATCTAATTATTAAATAAATCTGCATTTCAGTGTTCACAGTACATGGAATCTAAGTTAACCTAAATGGACTGGATTCACACAACATGCTAACCCTTTTCCTTCACTTAATGAAGGCTTACACCAACCAAGCTTAGCCTGTTGCGAAAATTCATCCTGAATATGTTTAATAGATCTGCTTAGTTAAATGGCTTATGTGAGCAGAGTCTAAAATGAATTATTACATAATTCTAACCCTGAAAACTGACAGGAACTGAGGACAGGATATCGGGTTTGTGAAAGGCATAAGAGGTTATACATCTCCAAGACTACAAAATGTGCTCCCATCTTCTACAAATTTGATCCCCCTCTTCTTTCTTATAGGGACATTGACTTAACTGGAAGTACTGTAGGATTGGCTTACGTTGGTACCATGTGCAATTCTTTGACATCTACAGCAATTATTCAGGTGGGTAGAAAAGCTACCTGTTACTTGTTTATGGTCATTGAAAACTCCAAAATATCTCAAAATATAAAACTCCCAAAATATAAAATACAAGAAGACTCTTCTTATATTTGATCCACATCATTTTCATCCACCCTTATTTATTAATTTGACATCTCCAAACTCTAATTTACAGGTTCAATTAAGTTTACAAAGTTGAGGACTACTGATGTAATCCTTTAGTTTCAGGTTTCACATAAACAGTATACTTTCTTAGTATTTTTCTACATTAAAAGCAAACACAGTAGTATGGTCTGGAGAAAGGTTCTTACTCCTTCCACTCCCTTTGAAGCTAGCTTTCAATTTACACCTCACTTTTTTTAACACGGACAAATAAATAATACTTTTAATTAATAAAAATAATCATACAAAATCGCAAATAAACAATAGAAGACCTCTTTGTAATATCACAGCATTCCAGTGAGATAATTGTGGAGAAAGCACCATCTCTAAGCCAGAGGTGGGATTCAAAAATACCAGCAACCAGTTTGCTGCCCAGTTGTTGGGTGGGCATGGCCATCATGGGTGTGGCCTACCGGAACTTCCGGGAGGGCTGTTTTTTGCCTTTTCAAGGGTCTAGAGGGGCTTCCCTCGGGCCTCTAGGGTGAAAACGGCCTCCCCTAGGCTCTGGAGGCCCTCCGGAAGCCAGAAACAGGCCCGTTTTGCAACTTCCAATTTTTCTGGGAGATCCGTTTTTCTCCTTCCCAGGTCCTCTCAGGCCTCCCCCGGGCTCTGGAGGCCCAAGAGAAGCCGGAAACAGGCCCATTTCCGGACTTCCGGAAGGCCCGTTTTTCCCCCTCCCAGAACCTTCATGCAGACCCTGCAATTAACTGCATCAAAAATTGGCCACGTAGAGATTACTGGGAGGGGCGGGGTGGGGCAGGGTAGGTGGGGCCATCTGGTCAGTTCAAATACTGGTTCAGCAAACCAGATGCAAAGTTAACATCCAGTTCATCTGAACCAGTCCAAACCGGTAGAATCTCACCCCTGCTCTAAGCTACTGAAAATTGTTAGTACACTTCGTTACTTTAAAGAAAGAAAACTACTTTTTGTAGGAAACCCTATTTCAGCTCTGAAAATTATTAAACTGTTTTTCTAACTCTTTGATTTTTTTATTAGAAGGTCCTGGAGCAAAGGTCAGTGCTAGTAATAATTGAATTCACTTTTGGTTTCTTGGCGGATTAACAATAGACAAAGTGTTTTCTTGTTTTCAGGATCACAGTACGGACCCAATAGCTATGGGGGCAACAATGGCCCATGAGTTGGGTCATAATTTTGGCATGAATCATGACACAGATTTGTGTACCTGCAAGACTGGCCCGTGCATTATGGCTGACAAGCAAGGGTAAGGGATCAGGAAAGCTTTTAATGACTTTCAGATCAAGCGATTTTCAAACAGTTGCAGTTAACAATAGTGTAAAGAAATAGCCTAGGCAACATAGGCCAAGAAATATCTGTGATGGATAAAAGAGGAAATGAAGTTAGACATTAAACAGTGCACAGTGGTTAGAGTGCAGTACTGCCGGCTACTTCTGCTGACTGTTGGCTGCTAGCTGCCAGCAGTTTGATTCTCAATAGCTCAAGGTTGACTCAGCATTCCACCCTTCCGAGGTGGTTAAAATGACTCTGTAAACCACATAGAGAGGGCTGGAAAGCACTGTGAAGTGGTATATAAGTCTAAGTGCTATTCCTTATTCCTAAAGACTTTCCTAAAATAGGAAGCAGAATGAGGAAAATATTCTGAACTAGGCAACAGCAGAAGGAAAAAGATTGATTAGTGTCCTTGGGGTTTTCCTGCCTTGCCCCTTCATCAAGGTGGAAGATATGTTACATTTTTCATATATTGCAGTCTGCTGAAATCGACAGGTAGTAACGTACAGGTAGCCATCAACTTATAACCATTTGTTTAGCAACCATTTGAAGTTACATTTTAAGGCACTGAAAAAACTGGCTTACAGCTGCACTTGCAACCATAGCAGCCTCCCCTCACATGATCAAAATTCAGGGCATGGCAACCAGCGTGCATTGATGATGGTTGCAGCATCCTGGGTTCCTGTGATTACCATTTCCTGACCCTTTCAACTGTCTTCTGATAAGACAGTGGAGGAAACCTGACTTCTTAATGATGGTGCAGTTCACGTAATAACTGCCTTGTTTACTAATGGAAAGGCTGGTCCCAGTTGTGTTTTTTTTTAAACTCAGCTGATTTGCACCTCAGCTGTTTTACTCACCAGCGCTGACATAGAAGGTAAGTTTTAAAGCTTAAAATAGGCAGTTTTTTTAATGCTGTGTGTGAGGGCTAAGCACTCGACGCATGCGTTCGCCAAACCAGTGGTTAAACCAGATGCAGCCCACCACTGCAATTATATTGCTAGTCCTTGTTTAGCCTCTACTTCCTAGGAAAAGGAAATGGAGGAATGGAATGGAAATGAAAGGAAGGGAAGGAAAGGGAAGGGACGGGAAAGGAAAGGAAGGAAAGGAAAGGAAAGGAAGGGAAGGGAGGGAAAGAAAGGGAAAGGAAAGATCTCAGGAATTATGTATTGCAAAACACCCGATTACCTTTTGTGTAATATTTTTATAGCCTCAGTGAACATGCCACCTGTTGTCAAATTTCTGGTTTCTTCTGACAAAGCTCTAGGACTTTGTTGTCTCATATTTTATGCAATGGCTATGACTTCAGGAAGTATTGAGAACGCTAACTAACCCTTCCTGTCCTTACTGAAGAATTTTTGTGCGTCACAATTACTTAATACTTCAAAACCACTTTGTGGTATTTTTTACAGAAGGCCGTGCTTGGAGAACAGTTTGCTCAATAAACCCCACCTAATGGGTCTGGTGCAATTTTGATCTTCAAAGAAGACCACGTTATCTCTTTAGTGGCCACCAGCAGATCATCTTTGGGTTCTTAATTTCACCCTCTTAATTTGAGGGCCAATAATTATATTCCTAATGATTTGTAATTGCATTAGGAAGGGGCTTGGGTGGACTTGGTGATAGCATGTTGGCATCCCTTTTAAATATGCAATTTCAAAGATCAATGGCAAGTTGCAAGACCTTTTCAGCAACAGAAGTCCAATAAGTGTATCAATTCTCCTGTTGCCTTAAAACATTCATTTGCAATAAAAAGTACAAGCCTTTCTTCTCCAAAAGAAGAAAAGAAAAAGAGGGTCAAGATTTCACTATTTTCCCTTCAATTATATTATTGCCACCTCTTCTTCATCCCATCAACAATGTCACTGTATCATTTCCAGACTCCCCTTCCACAGAGAGACTGACTAAAAATGAAAACAAAAGGCGGACTACTCAAACACAAGAAATAGCTTAAGCACTTAAGCACACCACATGGAGTTCTCATTGCAAATTCATTGTGTTAAAAAAAAGTAAAAAAGTTAGTGGAATTAAAACTGAGGGAGCATAATAAGATCAAAGGGTACAAAGATTTCTCATAGCTATTTTGTTAGCTTTAAAGAAAAACAATACTGCTTTGTTCATTAGCCAATTTTTTTCTGTCTTATCTGTTTTTGCCATGCATTCTATTCCTGATCCACATATGAATGATCATGATCTCATATTGGTTCATCTTTACAGCTATATAACTCCCCAGGAGTTCAGTTCTTGCAGTTTACAGTTTTATCAGAATTATATCATGAATGAAACCCCACAATGCATCATCAACAGACCCTCAACCAAAGATGTGATTTCACCTCCAGTGTGTGGGAATGAATTTGTGGAGGAGGGAGAAGAATGTGACTGTGGCCTTCCAAAGGTATTTTTTTTTTTTGTAATGAACAAGGGTGGTTCCAAGAAGTTTCTCAAAAATAGGAATCCTTGCAAAATCATCTCTTTTTTTAATTGATGTGAGCCGTCCAATAGGTTAGTTTGTGAATAGCATAGTTTGTGCCCTTTATGTACATGCATTATGTAGGTTTCCTGAATTTAATAAACCAGTTGTAGAGGAATGGAGAACTAATACCTCACTACTATTTTGGGAAGAACAACATAATTTTTAAAAATGGGTGATTTATCACTCCAAGAAAATCCTTCCCCATTGAAAACACCTACTCTGTTGAAATGGTGCCATTACTTTCTTACATTGGCCACATTATCTATCCCTACTATTTTCTTGAGCTGCTTGCTCCAGAACCTGTGATCTTCAATTTCTGCTTTCAACATGTAGTTCTCAATGGAAACTACAGCTACATGGAGGGAAGTGTACACTGGGGTAACTCAATGTTCTGTCTTAGCCCCAGTTCTCTTCAACAACTTTATAAATGATCTAGATGAGGGGATAGAAGATAAACTCATCAAACTTGCAGATGATACCAATCTGGCAGGAATTGCAAACACTTTAGAATAGTGGTTGCCAACTGGTGGTCTGCGGACCACTGGTGGTCCGTGAGAAAGTTTTAGTGGTCCACAGAGAAATGCCACCCCCAAAGCAATTAATCCAGGCTGTGCGGGAACACAAGGCTTGCGTCACTTGTATTGTGAACAACACGAGATGGTGAGGGGAGGGGGGAAAGGGCAGAGGGGGGAGAACTTGCCCCACTCACTCCACGCCCCATGGCTGATCACTGGCCTGCTTCTTTCTGCTTCTTTCTTCTTCTGCTTTTGGCTGCACACAAGGAAAGCAGCAACAGTCTTTCTTTCTCTCCCCCACACTCTGTCAGAAATGAGTCTTTGGGACCCTGCAAGGCATCCTGCTCCAAGAGGCTGCATCAGTGTGACAAGTCTCACAAAGATTCATTTCTGGCAGAGTTTGGGGGAGAGAAAGAAATACTTCTGCTGTTTCTGCTGCTTTCCTTGCATGAAGTCAAAAGTCTCTCTCTCTCTGTCTCTCCCCATGAGAACAGAGCTGGAGATGGAATCCTGCGATCCCCAATAAAGAATGATCGATTGGTAGGAAAACAGGGTGGGGAATTTTCCTGCAGACTTTTTGGGGGATTTTCCTCAGAGTCTCTGCTGCTTCTGCTTTTTCTGCCGAAACCCTGGGAAAATCCCAAAAATAGTCCGCAGGAAAATTCTCCACCTAGTTTTCCTACCGATTGATCATTCAGGATGACCAAAGGGCCAGTCTTGTGACTACTGCAGCTCTGGAATATGGGACTGACTTTCCTACCAACATCAGCAAGCCACCATCAGTAAAAATTCATATTAGTGGTCTGCGGGATTTAAAATTATGAGTTTGGTGGTTCCTGAGGTCCAAAAGGTTGGCGACCCCTGCTTTAGAAGATAGGCTCAGGAGCTAGAAGGATCTAGACAGACCTGAACACTGGACCCTACCCAACAAAATGCAGTTCAGTGGCAAGAAAAGTAGGCTTTTACAGGAAGAAAAGAGTATGTAGTACCAGGCTCAACAGCAGTGACTTTGAAGGGAATTGGGTATTCTAGTGGACAATCACTTAATTAAGAACCAGCAGTGTGCTGCAAGTGCCAAAAAAAAAGCAAATGCAGTCTTAAGCTGCATTAGCAGAGAAATAGTAGATCAATAGAGGAATAGTAGATCATGTGAAGTATTAGTGCCACCATACAGTGCCTTGGTAATACCACACTTGGAATAACGCATCCATTATTGATCACCACAGAATAAAAAAAAGTGTTAAGACTCTGGAAAGAGAGCAGAAAAGAGCAACATGATGATAAGAGGTCTAGAGGCCAAAACCATAAAATACAAACAGTTGTAGAATCTGGATATGTCTAGTCTAATGAAGAGAAGTCCTAAAAATATTTAAGAGGCTGTCACAAAGAAAAGGGGAACAACCAATCTCCAAAGCACTTGAGCGCAAGACAAGAAGTAATGGATGGAAATTTATCAAACAAAGTTTCAACTTAGAACTAAGGAGAAATTTCCTGACAGTGTGAACAATTAATCAGTGCAATGGCTTGAAT